TTTTTTTTTTTTCTTGGTGTTTTTGAAAGGTGATGCAATATTCTAGAAATATTTAGAGAGCATGCTCGTGTAGTCACATTGCTGGGTAAAATGGAGCAGCTTCGAGAATGTCCATTACCTCGATCTGTTCATAACGCACTTCAAGGACTTCGTGATGCTGTGAAGGTTTTGCAGCAGTGCAGGTTCAATGAACGACAGGCCATCTTTCAACAACTTCGTGGGGAAATTCTTAGATACAATGATGATCGAGGTTAGTGACTCACGTTGCACTTAAAGTTTAATTGGCAGTTTAAAAGAACTTTTATTATATCTTCCTTTTGTGTGGTTCAATTTCTTTTTTTTCTTTCGCTGCTTTTGTAGTCATGTTTTTAGAAACGGCAGCGTTGGCATCTGCGTTGACACAGGTTAATAAAGCTGTTGTTCGTGCTAGGGCTGCTAATTGGTGTGCATTAATGTGGACAATTGGAGCAGATGCGGAAGCTGAAATCCAAATTCAACGTATTCTTCAGGCTGATTTTGAATTAGCTCCACCGGAGATAAAACAACGTCCAATATGATTAGCTACTGATATAGGTCAAAGGTTTAATTTCAAGTCTTGAATGCAGTTTTAAATTCTTTTTGATTGCTTCACAAGCTTAGTTATTATTGTTATTCGTATTTCTTGGTTTTGATAATTCTGTCTCTATGCAATTCTCTTTTGTTTTGTCTTTTAGATTTTCTAGGTTTATTGAGTAACGCTGGTTGCTAGGTTTACTTTTTTTACTTTGTTGTCTTTTTTGTATGGATTGTTTTGTATGCAGTCTGTCTTTTAAAAAGCATCAATTCAAAGCCTCTTCCTCGGAGCTAGTTATGCTCTTCTAGCGCTCAGGTTTAAAATTTGTCGGAGCATGCTTTGTTTTAGGCTTTATCTCTGTGGCCTGAGTCTAGGGTGATTTAGTCATCTAGCTCACCAATTTAGTCGAGCTATGAATAGCAAATTGATATTTTTAGTCTGCTTTGCTTTTGAATAACAGTTTCAATTGTGCTTTTGAATTAGAAACATTTCGAAACTTGATATTCATTATTTTTCTTATTTGCTGAAGAATTTTTTTCTTTTTCTTAAGACAGAGAAAGAAGAAATTGTTAAATGCTTATTACAAGTTTCGAAAGGGGCTCTTTCGGGCGTTCATTGTTAGCGACGGGTGATGGTCTTATGCTTCTCCTTTTCAATTTATTTACAGACGATATTCTCTGATGCGAGTAGCCTTTTGGTGAATCACTCACGTCTTCCTATAGGAATGTTACTTTTTCCATACTTTTGTGGCGAAAGTTTTCTAGTGCTCACATATATGAAACAGAAGTGATAGTTATTTTCATTATGGGTAAAGAGTAATATATTTTTCTTTTACATTTTTGTTTTTCCTTCTTTTTTCTTGTTAAAAGCTTATTCAAAATAAGTCACTTGAAATACAGAGTTATATAAGGAAAAAAATGTTCTGAAAAGGAAAGAACTGTTGTTGTGAATTTTTTTAGAAATAACATTCACTGAATCAAGGCTGCAGTGAAAGGCTCTTTTATGTTTGTTTATTTTGTGAAACTCAGCCCTATCCTTTCATTTTCCTTGAATGAATACATTTACTAATTATATGACATATAGTGCTTTCCAGGATTAGTTTTGTTACTCAATTACGGAAGTAAATACCACAAACATACATATTTTCTTAAGAGCTTTTTTCCGCAAGTTTTGTTACTTCATTTAAATCTGTTTTCTTCTTTTTTCCCCCTTTTTCTTTTTCATCCTTTATCCTGTAGCTATTAATCCCGATAACCAATGTGATTATTTGTAAGTAGTTTTATGCTTATTTATTGCACTTTAACATGATTATTATTTATTTTTATTTTTTACCGCTACTTGTTATTATCATCATTATTATCATTATTGTTGCTGTTATTATTATTATTATTATCACTAGGTTTTAGGTGAGGAATTTTTGGGTCGCAACTTACAGCACCGTAACATGAGTGAGAAAAGACATTAATTTTCCCTTAACATTGTACTTTTATCTATTGAATTTTGGCTGTAGAGCTGTGAAGTAATTTTCCTCCACTATCTTTTTAGGGGCAGGTGTAATTGAAGTTTATTTTCACATACATCTTTTTCATTGTTTTGTTTCGATGAACAACTTTCCTGTGATTGTATATCTTGAAGTTTAGTTTTTTTTCTAATTTATTTGCTGTACTTTTGTCACTTTACGTAGCTTAACGCTTCGTCAGGTCTTGGGAGCTTACCATTGGGGGTGTGGCACTCTCAAAGCTTCTGAATTTCCTGATACAATATTTTGTTTTACATTTGTTGCTGTTCTTAATTATTTCTGATGTATCTCTCGTGGTCTTCCTGTGTTTTCAAAAGAAACATACATATTTCTCCTCTTCTTTTTTCCTATTCTCTTTTTTTTTTAGAGATTTAGCGTATTATTCTATTTATTCTTTTTTTTTTTGAATTTTGAATTTTGAATTTTTTTTTTGTTTTTTTTTTTTTGTTTTGTAGGAAAACGTCTAGAATTTAATTATTGGAGTTGATTTGAGCAAACGAAATAGTTTTGTATAGATTCACACTGGTTTGTTATCCTAGTTTTTTTTTCTGAAGTTTACTAACGCCATTACATAATCATTTAGTGTATTTTTTTCCCCCATTTAATCATCGCCTTCGTCATACATTGAGAATTTTTTTTTTGCAAATACAACATCAACAAAAAATGAAGCAGCAGCATTG